CTGATGACTTTGCAAAATGGGATGTTTTCCATGTTATTTTTCACCTTTTTTTTTTGCAGCAGTGTTTAAAGGGCTGCATTGATATTGGATCGCAGAACTTGGTGTGGCGTGAAGTGACAAAGGGGTGGGTTTGCTTGGTTTATGTGCGTCTAATCTGTGACCCCCAAACTTCTGTGCATCTTCTTTTCGTATGTAACCACCAGCAGAAGGTGTCTCTCAGGTCTCCTAAAAAGCCAGACCCAAATGCTCGAGTCTTCTTCATATATCCCAATAAATTATGGCCTTTATCTGACAGAATATTCTCCTGGGATTAAAGTAGATAAATTCCATATATTGGTGTTAAAGTCTCTGAACTACATGTGTAAGTTGCTACTCTAGAGGAGGAGGGACAGCTTGTAATAAAGACCTGGAATTGTCAAGAGACTGTTTTTATTACACTTTAGGAGATGCAAAGTACTTCAGAATTCAAAGCAAGAATCCAGCCCTACCCATGATCCATGTAACCAGGGGTTCCCCTTTCTGTGGGGAAAAGGGAAATTCCATAATTAAGTTTTTTGAATAATGGCATGTAAGTATATATTTTTAACCTGTTCAAAAAAAAAAAACAACCTAGAAACCAAAACTAACCCAGATCATCTGTACATCCAGAACAAAATTATCATGTTAATTATCAAATTAACACTTGCTATATAGAGAGACAAATAATTAAAGAAATGCGAAAGGGGAGGATTTTCTGCTACTAGGAAAGCAGAAATTGTAGGAGGCGTGATTTATAGTTTTAGGGTAACTATCTCTTGACTGAGTTGGCTGTTAGGGCTAAAACCCAGCTATAAATAAGGTGCAGAGCAGATGAGCCAGGGCAAGGCCGGGCAAGTCCTGAGGCCGTGTTAAGCCAGCGCGGAGCTGTGACCGGGTATTAGTGGTGTCCAGGCGAGCCGGTGCTGTGTCCGTGGGCTGTGCAGAGAGCAGGCTCTGGGCTCTCACTCTGGGGCTTCTCCTCCTTGGTTGTTCAGAGTGTCTTCCCTCAGCTTTTCATTTTTAGAGAGCAATAGCCCTTATTCCAAATGGGCTTGGTTTGATCCTGAGCCTTATTCCTTGTCTTTTGATTGCATGTTAGGACCTCACATCGACATTTCCACTGCCAGCACCATCACTGTTAGATTTCCACAGGTCTAAAAGCACTTTCACCGTGAATCAGGTAAGTGCAGAGCTGTTGCAGACTGTCCAGGTAATATGTCAAGCGTGTTTTGCAGCACTGAGAACTCTGGAACAGGCTGACATTCCTCCTTTATTTTTGCATTCCCAGTTTCTGGTCATGGGATGGAAAAAGAACAGTTAATAGCTGACCTAAATTCAGGCGTATTTAATTATAGTTTCCTTAAGTTCTGACTATGTTCTGTGTGTGTTTGCTGCCAGGTATGGATAACCTGCAGTCCTAGAAAGCCTCATGCCAGGTAGGGAAGTGATGACAAGAAAATTATGGGGTAAAATTCCAGCCATTTCCATTGGAAAAGTTTATCCTTTAGAGTTGGCTCCAAGCACAGTTCAAATACATAGAGGATGATGCCTTTCTACGTGGCTCCCTGAGTGTGCCCTGGCATCGAGCCCTCGTGTGAGTGCTCAGAGCTGGTTTTACTGACAGCACGTTGAAGGGAGGAGCCTTCCCGTGATGTCAGAGCAAGGAATATAGTGCAGGAAATCTTCCATCCTTCCCAGAACCGTTCTGCAGCTGAATGGTACCAGAGAAGCACATATTTCATGGAAGCAGTCAGCACTTCAAAATGTTTTGTTTTCTCTTTTAAGTCTGAGAACAAAGTGAGGTGGGCTCTGTGTTTGTGGCCTGTGGAGGTTGTGCATTTCACAACTAATCCTGCAGAGCCCCAAGACTCAGACCTTCCTCTAATCCCTGTTTGTTTGTAAATCTGCCAGTCACTGTCACTCCCAAGGGTGGAGGAGAACTTAAGCTGAGGTAATTCTCCAAGCTTAATGATCTCAGGAAGGTGAGAGACACCCGGGCTACTTCTGAAGTCACAAGAACTTTTTTCTCTCTTCATTCCTCAGTGTGGTGAAGTTGCCGGTGTCTAAACCTGGTTGCTTGCATTTTGATTTCCATTAGGAAATGCTTTAGTGTCTTTGCCATCCTCTGTCACCAAGATACCTTTATGAGGGGTGACACCATCACCAAACCCTGTCTGGCACATCCTGAGACCCTGGCAGGTACAGCAGCACTTCAGTGCCCACATGGTGGGCAGCATCCAGCTGATGGGGACTTGGCAGTGATGGATGAATGACTGGAATTTGATGATCTGAAGGGCCTATTTTACTCTCAAGGATTCTATGGTTCTGTGACAAGAGATTTGTTCTGGGTTGTTTTTTTTGTTTGGTTGGTTTTTGCTAATGCTCAAGTAATTGTTCCATGTGCCTTGAGGGGAATGTTAAATCCGATGTTCTCCTCTGTGTCACTGCACTGTGTATCTGCAGCAGCAGAGCTGGCTTGCTGTGTGTTATCAAAATTTCTGAGATAATATTTATTTATTGTGAAATATTCCAGAGAGATGCCCTGCGGGGCTTCTGGAAGCGCTTCACGGATACAGCCTTGAATATACAGTGAAACATGGAGTAAAACTTTATTTTTATTTCCAACTGCGTGGTTGGGGTCACTGTGGAGACAAACCCTTTTTTCCTCAGCCCCCAAGAACGAACAAGCAGAAGTTTTGGCAGCAGTTAAGCAAACAAACTCTCCTCCAGAGACACTGACAGTATTAAGGCCGTGAATCCAGCGTTGAGACTGCAGGTCCCAGCGTTGGTGCTCCCCATGGGAAGGGGCTTGGGGCAGGGTCCTCAGCACAGGACACATTCTTCTCATGCCACAAAGCTGCAGTGGTAGCAGTAGAAAGGCATTTGATGCTTCTGGAGTAAAAGGCAATTTCAGGCAATTCGTAGGAAAAGACAAGAGAGAATGCGGAACTTGACAGTTCCGCATTTTGTTTCTTAAGGGCCTAATAAATCAAAGCACACGAGTTGCAGCACATCCCAGAACCTCCTGAGGACATGCTGAAATCCTGTCTTAGCCCTGCCAGCCTGGGTGCTTTCTGCTGCTGATCCCCATAGTGCAGTACCCGCAGCACCACAGAAATGTTGCATGTACGCAGTTCTTCTGGAAATCACTGAGAATTCTGTTGGAGCTCCTTGGAATCTGCATTTGAACTATATGATTCTTCTTTTCTTCCCTGGTTTTTCAAAAGGCACGCTTGAAAATAAGCCTCAGGAGGCAGCGACAGGATGGACTGGCCTAGTTTCCTTACTTTGAGAACTGCAGAATGGAATTTTTTAGTAACTGCAGAACACGTCTGTCCTTGGGGACTCTATGCATTAACACGCTCTTTGGCAAGGGACTTAGATTGATATCAATTGGTTCCAAACTGGTTTCTCATTAGTTTAATTTTGAATTAGTGAAGGTGTGGATCTTCCCTAGATACTTTTCCTAGCTGTATATTCAGGAAAAGGCTAAATTAGGCAATTGAGCAAGCAAGCACGTAAGAGGACCATGTATACAGAGACAGATTTAAGGGGGGTATGTGTGTGTATATATATATATATGGAATGGTGTCATTTGTAGCATAGAATTCAGCCCAGCTGTTCTACAATATGAAATAAGATGGTGAGAGCCTCCCATGTGAGCAATGCTAAGGGTTCTTTTCAGGTACAGAGAGGTTTGGCTGATGACGTTGATGGAATTAGATTTGGGCAGATCATGGCTTCATTCAATAGCAGGGAAAGAGCTGTAGTTCCATCCTTCCACAGTTACACTCCAGGAAAGATGTGCTGTAGCCCAGAATAACCATTTCTCCTGGCACGAGAGCACGGGCTGATCTGTTCCTGCCGGTACGATCGGATGTAAGTGATGCAGGTGACCAGCAAAATAAAAAAGGAAGAGATAACGAGCCAGCTAATTCCAGAATGAGATTAGCACGGATTAGTCTGTCTAGCCCAAATCCCCAAACAGCCAGACTGGTTCTGTGTGTTTCTTCACTGTTGCCTTATGTGTTGTCTTTCTCCCAAGTAACAAATGTTTGGACAAGAGGAAACAGCCTCAAGTTGTGCTAGGGGAGGTATAAATTGGACATAAGGGAAAATGCCTTCTGAGAAAGGACTGTCCAGCCCTGGCACAGCTACTCAGGGCAGTGGTGGTGTCACCATCCTAAGAGGGATTTAAAAGCCATGTGGATGTGGCACTTGGGGTCATGGGTCAGTGGTGGCCTTGGCAGTGCTGGGGAAGGGTTGGACTCGGTGGACTTAGATCCCTTGTGTTCTGTTAAGTGCTTGACCATGGATGCACACTGCAGCCTCTGAAACAGAGCTGCTGGCAGCACTTGTAACCTGGGGATTGATCCTGACTGTTTGATCCTGAGGGCACTGAAGTGCTGGGCTATGGAAAACAGACAAGAGAATGGATCAACCACTCTGTTACCCAGTGTTTTTTGGACAGGGCACAGCAGTTAGGGAGAGGACCCACTGCTTCCCTTCTCAGCTGGGTTTCACTTGGGTGCTGTGCTTGGCAACTTCGCCAGCTGCAGCAGTTTTGGGAAGTGGAGCTAGTCTGTGATTTTCCCACTGGTGTGCTATCCCAGGGTGGGCATTCTTGAGAGCACTGAAAACAGGGGAAGGGACTCTTTGTGGACTTGCAGGCTTGTCATTCATGAATTCCAGCGTGGAGGAAAAGGGCTGCAAGCTGTGCCGTTGTTGGGGAAAGTGCCCCGTTACCCACGAGTGGAAGGCAGGACCGTTCCTCTACATCTGCTGGATGCTGGTTGCTCGGAGGGCTTAACAGAGCAGGGAGATCCCTGTGCATTTATAGGAACAGTGGGGGAATGGGGACGCTCCCAACTGGGATACAGAACAGCCGCAGGGGCACAGGCTACCCCAAGCCCCATCCAACCTGGCCTTGAACGCTTGCAGGGACAGGGGCTGGGACTCGACTGATGCCTGACTCCTTGCAGGGTCCCTCCTGGGAGTGCTGAGTTCCCTGCACGACCACGTGGAGCAGCGGCTGAACGAGAGCCTGCGGCGCCGCCGGCACGCGGGAGACAACGACCACAACATCGAGGTGCTGCTGGGGGTGGACGACTCCGTTGTCCGATTCCACGGCAAAGAACACGTCCAAAACTACCTCCTCACCCTCATGAACATCGTGAGTACCTGCCACAGCTTGTTTGGGAATGGCAGCTGCTGTTGGGAGCTTTTGTAGGAGCTGGATTGGGGAAAGTAGCAGTGGGATCATTTGGGCTGCTACTGAATATGGATTTCTGTTTTCAGGTTGTTCCTTTCTTTTAACTTTTTCACAGTAGTTTTCTAGGGCATGACACATTCGAGGGTAATTCCAAGAATTTGGAAGTAGTTAAAAAACAGTAAGGAAAAAATGTACACTTGATCCAATTCTAGTAATTCTGAGCTCCTCCTGCAATGCAGTTCTAGGAAAAACCTGGCTAAAAAATAAACATGTAGCGAAAAAGTGTTCTAAACCCCCCGTGGCTCTTGACAGAGCAAACCTCCTGGTAATAGAAGTAGATCTGTCTTAGAAACTGTGGGATTGTAAGACTTTTCAGGAAAGAAAAACAGCCTCCAAAGGACAGAGATGAGGAATAGGCTTCCCATTAGTAATGACTTGATGGGCATGGGAATGACTCATATGTTTTACACTCACCTTTTTATTCCTGGAATTATTTTTAAATGATTGCTTAGGCTTGCAAGTAATCTAAATTTGAGAATTTAGAATTTGAGAGGAAAAAATCATTCCTATATGAATTTAACCCAACTAATGTGTTTTCCAGCATAACTCAGGGAATAATTTCTTTTTTCCCACATACCCCCTAGCACATCAACAATAAGTCTCCATTACACATTATTGCAGGATATTTTAGTTTTTGCAGTCTTTTTAGTTTTGAAACCTTTATAACTCTGTGAGCAGCAGGGCTGATCCATGTCCCAAACCACTTACATATTTTTTATGTGCCTGAGGCTCCATCTGCTGGGAGCAGCTATGGGGCCAGAGCTAGAGTGAGCTGACACCCCGCTGCCCAAAGCCATCCAGAGAATGGGATAAAAGGGGGTTATGGGGAAATCTTGAAGACTCGAAACCTTAGGTCAATTCCAGGGTCCTTTTTTGTCCCAGGGAAGTCACTCCTGTCTCTGGGAAACTCCCTGGTTGTCTCTTGGCACATGGGAAGTTATGAACGTTTTTCCTGGGCCAGCCCTTTGTGGGAGTGATGCTGCTGCATGCAGGGAAGGAACTAGGAGAGGAATAACTGACCTCTGGGATAATTGCTTCACGGGACAGGCAGCCTGAGCTCTGTGCTCATTCCCTGTCCCACTGTCCTGCTGACACTGCTCTCAGCCCCAGGGATTGCATGTTTAAACCATGGGCTCAAATCCTCATGCCCGCAGTCTGGAAGCCTCCCAGTGACCTTTTTCCCTGCGAGGGGAAGAGGGAAGTTCTGTTTAGCCAAACTGAAAAATAAAAACTCTTCTAACTCCTGCTCAAACCCACCGGCCTCTGAACAGGGGTGTTTATTTCTCAGCAGTTACCCGTAGCATAATATTTATTTTGTTTTTAGGGGGATGAGGAGCTTCATTGAGGACCTGCAGATGTTTCACACTCTGGTGCCAGGACATTTCTCACCTTCCCAGACACAGGGAAGGGCCTCAAAGAAGGACAATTTTTGGCCCATCTGCATAATTCTGTTTTTCTAACTTCCCTTTCATAAGGCCTCTTTTTAGTACAGAAGTGACCACAGAATTCTAATTGATCTTGAAAAAGTAGGGCAGCAGCATTACTTGCTTCTAAAAAAAATACACTTCAAAACAAGAAGCGCTGGAAGTGTTCCAGACCAGGTTGGACGGGGCTTGGAGCAACCTGGTCTAGTGGAAGGTGGAATGGGATGAGCTTTAAGGTCTTTTCCAATGCAAACCAGTCTGGGATTCTGTGATTTGCAGCATTTGAACTTCAAGTCTTTTCCCCAGTCCTGTTTTCTTCGGGCCCTGAAACTTAAAAGGGAACCTTGACATGTGCTTCCCCAAGTTCCGTATGAGGGGGTAGGTGGTGATGGGAAGTGAGTCTACATTTCTCAGCATGTGGAAATGATCCGGGACTTGAGCCCTCTTCTGAGAGGACTGCAGTGGTACAAGCACTTGAAATAACAGCTCTGTGGCCCTTGGAAGTTCCTTTGGTGTCACCAGTGGGTTGTTTTCTTTTTAATTTTCCCTCTTTTCCCCTCAGGTGAATGAAATTTACCACGACGAGTCCCTGGGCGTTCACATCAACGTCGTGCTGGTGCGAATGATCATGCTGGGGTACGCGAAGGTCAGTGAGCCGGCTCTCCACCTTCAGCTGCTGGGCAGAAAACCCACCCTGGTGTGAATTCCCTGCCTGTGGCTGGAGCTGCCGGGTCTAAGGTGTTGCTCCTTCAGTCCATCAGCCTGATCGAGCGGGGGAACCCCTCGCGCAGCCTGGAGAACGTGTGCCGCTGGGCCTATCAGCAGCAGAAGTCGGACCCCAGCCACGCCGAGCACCACGACCATGCCATCTTCTTAACCAGGCAAGATTTTGGGCCCGCTGGTATGCAAGGTAATGCAGCTGACCTGGAGCAGAGCTCTCTGGGCTCGATGTTTCTTGGCTGGTGTCTACCAGAAAAGAGGAAAAATTGGGAATTGCAGTGTTAGCACTTCCTGCTGTTTGTTCCACAGACTTTTTCAAAAGCAAGGAGACCTTGCCATGAGTCCTTGTCCTTTATATCCAACTGTAGGTTTAATTTTTTACTGGAGAGTTGTACATAAACACCTCTTTACTCTCTCCAAACTCCTGTGTGTGCAAGGATCACTGGGAACATTCAATGCACTTGGCATTCCACTTCCCTTTATTTTATTGCATCCTTCACTGTAGATTTCTATTTATAGACATCCCAGCCGCTTTGAGACCTGCATCCATCTTTGGGACTCAGGGAACTAATGCTAATGGGCAGGATTCCCCAGGTGTGGGTTGTATCAGGGCAGGCACTGGGCAGGCTGCCCTGCACTCAGAGCAATAACTTTTCCTGAGGAAAAGGCAGATTACTGGGGGGGCTCATTTAAAATCTATGCCCTGGGCACAAGACTCAGCCCTGGTGTCTCTCCGTAGGATACGCTCCTGTGACGGGCATGTGCCACCCGGTCCGGAGCTGCACCCTCAACCACGAGGATGGGTTTTCGTCAGCCTTTGTTGTTGCTCATGAGACTGGGCACGTGTAAGTGTAACTTTTACAATCAGATCGCACCAAAACGTGGTGCTGCACGTCCTTCTTGCTCCAAGGGGGTTGGGTTTTATGGCTCTACGGAAGCTGACCTGGTTTTATTTCCGTCCCCTGGGAATGCAGCGGTGGTTGAAGCAATGGAGAGACAAGTGGTGGAAGAAAGCAAGGGGAGAGAGAGGGGGAACTTGTTTTCTCTGGGGTGAGGGAAAGGTCAGGAAGGCATCTTGGAGGCCCAGCAGAGACAGGAGCTGGTTGTGCGTCCTTCACTTCTTTCTCCTCCCCAACTGCCCGTGCTGGCGAGTGCTGGCTGTTTCCCTACAGTTGTTTCCCAGTGGCTCTGACAGGGATTCTTTGTTCCAGGCTGGGCATGGAGCACGACGGGCAGGGAAACAGATGTGGGGACGAGACGGCGATGGGCAGCGTCATGGCCCCCTTGGTGCAGGCCGCCTTCCACCGCTACCACTGGTCCCGCTGCAGCGGCCAGGAGCTCAGGAGATACATCCAGTAAGGCCTCCCACTGCACCCAGGCTCTGATCCCTGTTTTTCCAGGCCCTTTTTCCCTTCAAATCTGTGTTAGAAAACCATGAATGCTGTGTCCTCGGGGGGGCTGTCCCATGGCCCATCTCCTGTGGATGGAAAGGCAGTGGAAAGACCCCTCTGATTCCAGTGGGATTTGGAATAGGCCTCTGCTTGTCAAGGAATCCAAGAATGGTTTGGGTTGGAAGGGACCTTAACGCTCATCTGCTTCCAACCCCCTGTCATGGACAGGGACACCTTGCACAAGCCCAGGTTGCTCCAAGCCCCGTCTACCCTGACCTTGGACACTTCCCAGGACGGGACAGGAATGAGGAATAGACATTTGCTCCTGCTATTTTTTTCTGTATCTCTTCCCACAGCTCTTATGACTGTCTGCTCGACGACCCTTTCGAGCACGACTGGCCCAAGCTGCCTGAGCTGCCAGGCATCAACTATTCCATGGACGAGCAGTGCCGCTTCGACTTCGGTGTGGGCTACAGGATGTGCACGGCGGTATGTCCCCGGTGGGGGGGGGGCCTGGCCTGACTGGGGAGCTGCAGTGTGTCAGAACTGAGGAATAATCACTGCAGGGCACTTAATGGAGTATTTAAACAGAGCTGTGAAGAACAGAGGGATATTTATGGGGGAAACTCATGGGATAATGGACAAGTGGCTGGCAGCACAGTCCACATGGCACAGATTGGTGGGAGTGATCCTAGGGAAGAAAAGGAAAAAAACCCTCAGTTTGCTCCCGCTTCTGGGTGTCTCCTTTCTTCTCACTGTCTCAAGACTGGGGGATGCAGGGAATAAGCACTGCCCTGAAGATACTGGACTCACTGGTGTGTGTGAGATCGATTGACGGAGTGGGTTGGATCCTTCTCACAAAAACTGTAAATAACCTCAGGTTCTGCGTTTCATCTCACGCCTCTTGTGGGTTTCAGTTCCGAACCTTTGATCCGTGCAAGCAGCTGTGGTGCAGCCACCCCGACAACCCCTATTTCTGCAAGACCAAGAAGGGACCTCCCCTCGACGGCACAGAATGTGCACCTGGAAAAGTGAGTCTGGGCTTTGCACTGTGTTTGTCTTGGGGGAAAAGACCAACAGTGTTGTTCATCTGAGGTGAAGGGCACAGAGAGAAACAGAGGGAATTGCTCAGCCTCCCTTGGGTTGAGCGAGAGGATGGGAAAAGAGGAAGCTGTGTTTTCCCACTGGGATATTCCATGAGCTGTACAAGATCTACTGTAGCATGTTTTAGGCATAGAAACCCCAGTGGAGGTGTAACCCATTCTGTGACCCTTTTGATACATTTTTTGGGGGTTTTACCTGCAAAGTGTCTGTCAAGTGTCTTTAGCAATCCAGGGAAGCAGATGATGCCATTCCTGTGGAATGGCTGCTCAGAGCTCGTGGTCCAGACACCATGTGGCAAATGTTTGTGTAGGCTGAGGATTAGCACTTGATTTTTCTCTTTAATATCCCCATTAGTGGGGATATTTTTAGTTATAAAATTATACTCAAATACCTTTTTTTTTTTTAGCAAATTCCCTGTATTTTGAAATATCGGAGAGTCCATTCTTACCATCTAAGTGTGCTCCAGGCAGCAGCAAAACGTTCCTGTACTGTGATGATATGTTTGATTTGGGCCCTGTGTCTGTTCTCACCTGTTTCCTGCCCCAATTCCTTTAGTGGTGCTACAAAGGTCACTGCATGTGGAAGAACACCAACCAGCTGAAGCAGGATGGACACTGGGGACCCTGGACCAAGTTTGGCTCCTGCTCCCGGACCTGTGGAACTGGGGTTCGCTTCCGCACGCGCCAGTGCAACAACCCAATGTAGGTCTGCGTGGTGCACCCCCTGGGGGGCCAGGGAGGGACCATTTGAGATGGCATTTAGGGCTTGGGTGGAGATTCTGTTCAAGACCCTGGAAATTGGATCATTTTCATAGAATCAAAGAATTTCACAGAATCGTAGAATCATGGAATGGATTGGGTTGGAAAGGACCTTAAAGCCCATCCAATTCCAAATCCCTGCCCTAGACAGGGACACCTTCCACTAGATATAATTATATATATTTTTTTCTTTTATGCAGTAGAGCTGTATTACAATAATTATTATTAACTGTACACCAGAGCTGTATTAAGAGTACATGGAGTTCTGGTTTTTTGGTTTTTTTTCATGTGACACATTTGGGGGGTTTTGGGCTCTGTAAAGAATTAAATGGGAAGCAAGCCTTGGAATGTAACACAAGTGGGTGCACACATCATGCAGAGAGAGATGTTGTAAATAATATGTAGTGCTCAGGACCCCAGTGGAACTGTGGGGCCTGGATAAATGGATATGGAGTTTTACTCTCCAAGGAACTATGGGAAAGGCTGCAATTTTAACCTGAATAGTTATCTCAGGAGCCAGGCTTAAAATACCTGAAAATGAATCTGATTTTCTGAAAGATGAGGACTCCGTAATTCAAATTTCACCTCAATAGAGCCTTACTCCCCTCACAAGGAAGAATTTCTCCCTAATGAGAATCTCTGGCATGTTTTCTCCTCACAGGCCCATCAATGGAGGTGACGACTGCGCCGGGGTCAATTTTGAGTTCCAGCTGTGCAGCACCGAGGAGTGTCCAAAGCACTTTGAGGACTTCAGGGCGCAGCAGTGCCAGCAGCGCAATTCCCACCTGGAGTTCCGGGGCAGCCGGCACCACTGGCTGCCCTACGAGCACCCCGACCGTGCGTTCTGCTCTAGGCCTTTAGTGCCACTTGAAAGGGTTTGAAGCCATTCCCCTTGGCCTGGATATCTCAGGGACAGGCCCAGAACTCCCCAAAAAAGCAAATTAGTTGGTTCCCCCCCCCACCCCCTCTCTCTATTTTTTCTGAAAATCACCAGTGTGGCCCTAAAGCCCAGATTTTAACCCCTAGATTCCCTGTTCTGACCCAGATTTTCAATTTTAAACCCAAATTAATTATTTCCCACGCAAAATTGCCCATTTATCCTTAAAATTGACACTTTTGACTCTTAAGTTCCTCAATTGTGTCTAGAAATCACCGGATTTGCCCTAAATCCCTGATTTTAACCTCCAATTTCCCTCTAACCCAAATTTACCCTTTTTACTTTTAAATCTCCCATTTTCCCCCAAACATACCCTTTTATTCCCAAAATTGACCTTTTTCCCCCAAAATTGCAGAATTATGTCCAATATCACAAAGATTGTCCTAATGTCCAATTTTACCCTCAAATCCCCAGTTTTACCCCCAAATCCCCCAGTTTATCCTTAAAATTCACCTTTATGATTCCAGAATTGCCTGTTTATATCCAAAATCAACCGCCAGTTTTGCCCTAAATCCCTGGGTTTCTTCCCCAGACCTCCCCATCCCACCCATACTTCCCCATTCTTCCCCAAATTCCCCACAATTTATTTGTTCCTCCCCAAACCACCCTGTCCCACTGCTCCGCCTGTCCTCGTTCCCAAACCTACCTATCCTTTCTCACTCCTTACTCTGTCAGCGGGATATTTTTTGGGAGCACACCTGGATCACTGTCCATCCATGCAGTTCCTTCTCTTCCTTGGCTCCACAGCTCCCAAGAGATGTCACCTGTACTGCCAGTCCAGGGAAACCGGGGATGTGGCTCACATGAAGCAGCTGGTGCATGACGGGACTCGCTGCTCCTACAAGGATCCCTACAGCATCTGTGTCCGTGGGGAATGTGTGGTGAGTGGCAGCTGCCCCAGGGACAACCGATGGGAACAGCTCCAGGGCAGAGAGAGGCTTCTCATATGTCTCTAAATTCCATATTTGTGGCATCGCATTCCTCATAATTCCTGGAGATTTAAATTAAATTAGAGAACAGCACCGACCAGTCCCATGGAAATGCTCCACTTCTCTTCCACTGATTGTTTTGTATTATGGAATCCCAGACTGGTTTAGGTGTGAAGGGACCTTAAAGCCCATCCAATGCTACCCCCTGCCATGGCAGGGACACCTTCCACTAGCCCAGGTTGCTCCAAGCCCTGTCCAACCTGGCCTCGGACACTTCCAGAGATGGGGCAGCCACACCTTCTCTGGGCACCCTGTACCAGGGCCTCCCACCTTCACAGGGAAGAATTCCCTCCTAATGCCCAGTCTTTCCCTTTTTTCTGCAGAAAGTGGGCTGTGACAAGGAAATTGGCTCCAACAAGGCCGAGGATCAGTGTGGGGTCTGTGGCGGGGACGACTCCCACTGCCGGACTGTGAAGGGGACCTTCACCCGCACCCCCAAAAAACTCGGTAGGAATAACATCTGCCTGCAGCTGGCTGGAGTTCCTGTGGGCTCTGGGGTCTGTGTCACACTCATGGACACAGGATAATACCAGAATCATTCAAACTTCGACAGTAATGGGCTTAACATCATCCCTTGAGCCCAGTTAGGGCAGGCTGCTGCCCATCAGCCCCTGACTACGGGTGGATGTGGAAGTGGTGGAGGTGTTCAGGGAATGCTGGTTGCTTTTCCCTAATTTTGGCAATCTGGTCATTAAAAAGACTTAATTGACCTCTTCCAACAGGGAAATATTTAAGCAAGAAGTGCCAAAAAAAATTAGAGTTTCTGGAAAATGAAATCTGCAGGTATGCAACTTAAAATTTCCCCATGGACTGTCACTAGTCCGACTTCCACTGACTGGTCACCTTGGCCAGATATGTCCAGATGTGCTGTAAATGCATTTGCCCACGATGTAAATTATATTTTATACTGGTAAAGTGACCCTCAGTCACTGGAATGACTGGACTGGTCTCCCAGGGCACTAATTGCAAGCATTCTGTTTAAGGGAAGAGCAGAGGATCCCTTCCCTTGCCCAGAGGAACTTGCAGTGTTTCCCCGTCTGGGACAAAGGAGGCTGAAAACACACTGGGTCAGTGCAATGGCTTCTAACCCAACAGCCTGGCTGAGGATAAACTTGGGAAAATTATGCGGAATAGTTGTGTTTGTGCCCTCATGTGCCGAGGAACACAGGGAACATCTTTTTACCTGACTTGCGGATAGATCCAGCCTGTAGCAGCATGGCTGTAAATATTAATCTGATCCTAGCTGGGAAGTGGCAAATTGTTCTGTAACTGGTGTCTCTTCTCTCCCTGGAAGAGAAGAGCCCAGGGAGGGCCTGTCCCACACGTTCCAAACCGATTGGCTCCATGTCTCCCGGCCCTGCTCTTCGGTTGCTGGTGGATCCCTCTCCTGCAAGCAGAGCTGGGCCGTGCCCTGCGCTCCTGACCATGGCTGTTCCTTTCTCTTTCCATCCCTGCTGCCTCCACTGACCCTGCACGTGCCAAAGGGTACCTTAAGATGTTTGATATCCCTCCTGGGGCTCGACATGTGTTTATCCAAGAAGACGAGGCCTCTCCTCACTTCCTTGGTAAGTGTTTCTCTGCTCAGGTTTGGTTTGAGCCTCAAGAAGCACAGGGTGCTCCTGACAGTGAACCTGAGGGATGAGAGAACCCAGAGAAGGGGTTGGGTAAATGTGGGCTTCGCAAATGGCATGGTCAGGGCTGAGTCTTGCAGTCCCACACCTCAGCAAACAAACACCTACTGCTCATTTAAATCCTCCAAAATATTAAACTGATCCAAGTTTGCGTGTTTACTAACCAAATATTGTCATCAGTCACATGGAAATGAGCACTGCTGGGGTGAATCTAATTCAGTATCTTTAATTATTATTATGGTGTATTGGAAAAAGTTATATGGAAGAATGGGAGTTCACCTTTGAGTGAACAGGGTGAGATCTTTACGGTCCCTTTCAATTCAAACCATTCTGTGATCCAGCTTGCTAATGAATTGGCTCCTAATCATCATCATAGTAATCCCCACTGTACCTGGCTGCTGAGGTGTGCTGCAGGAACCCAAACCAGGCTCCACTTCCTCAGTTCTTTGCTTAGGGATTTTAGCATCTGGGATGCACCTGTGTGCATAGGGGAAACTATACGGATGAAAATCTGGTATTTTCACAACTTGATGGAAATACCCTGCCTGTGCCACCCCAGTTGCTGTGGCGGAGGCACAACAGGCTCTGCTCTTGCTTCTCCCAGCAATCAAGAACCAGGCTACAGGACACTATATCCTGAATGGGAAAGGAGAGGAGGCCAGATCCCGATCCTTCATCGACCTGGGCGTGCAGTGGGAATACAGCATCGAGGATGACATCGAAACGCTGCACACGGACGGGCCCCTGCACGACACCGTGGTAGTGCTGGTGGGTGACGCATTGAGCCCTGGGAACACAGGGCTTGGGGTCTGAAAGGATCTTAAGGATCATCCAGACCTCAGTGTCTTTACTTTGCAGAGCAGTCAATAACAGCTCTGGGTTTATGTTTGGTTATTCACAGATCATTCCTCGGGAGAACGACACCAGATCCAGCCTGACTTACAAATACATCATCCACGAGGATTCCGTGCCGACCATCCACAGCAACAACGTGCTGCGGGAGGACATGGACACCTTCGAGTGGGCCTTGAAGAGCTGGTCCCAGTGCTCCAAACCCTGTGGTGGAGGTGAGCGGGGAATGGGGCACCTGTAACAAGGGAGAGATTACAAAAAAAATGGGGGAAGGGAATGATTTAGGATTCTTGGCCTTCTATTTTAACAGCAACCCAAGCTGTCAAATACCTGAAGTGCCTGATTTTTCCCAAGTGTCACACTTCCAGCTTAGGAAGGAAAAGGCCTTTTTAGATGTTTAAATTCAGCCCCCAAGGCCTCTTTGGAAGTCCAGACTAAGACACTGATGCTCCTGAGCATTCCCTGTATTCATGGTGTGTCCATGGCTCTTAACAAAGAATGGGCAATGCAAACCCCAAAATATATTGTCTTGTGAACCCATTTAATAGGCCAGGAAAATCCTATTTAACCAAACATTCTAACAAGGACGTGTTTTTTCTGATTTCTCCGACACGTTTCCCAGGGTTCCAGTACACCAAATACGGGTGCCGCAGGAAGAGTGACAACAAGATGGTTCATCGCAGCTTCTGTGAAGGCAGCAAAAAGCCAAAGCCCATCCGTAGGATGTGCAACCTGCAGGAGTGCACGGAGCCCCTGTGAGTGCAGCCAGGCACAGAGAGCAGGGATTGCTCCAGCCATGTTGGGTGGGATCAATCTGGTGGAATGCTGACAGCTTTCCATCCTGGAGCTCCTGCATATGTAGAGGAATTTCTACCTGTGCAAAAACTGGGTACTGATCTGACTGGGTGGTTATAGTAGATTTTAAATATATATATACACACACATATATATACATGTAGATCATAAAACTTTGGAATGGTTTGGGTTGGAAGGGACTTTAAAACTCATCTCATTCCACCTCCCTGCCATTGCCAGGGACACCTTCTGCTAGACCGGGTTGCTCCAAGCGCCATCCAACCTGGCTTTGGACGCTTCCAGGGATGGGGCAGACACAGCTGGACAACAGGTGTGATGGTATCTGACTCCATTTTCCTTTTAGCTGGGCAGCAGACGAGTGGGAACACTGCACCAAAACCTGTGGGAATTCTGGCTACCAGCTACGCACCGTGCGCTGCATCCAGCCCCTTCCCGACGGCACCAACCGCTCCGTCCATGCCAAGTTCTGCAGCGGGGACCGCCCTGAGAGCCGCCGCTCCTGCAACCGGGCACCGTGTCCTGCGCCATGGAAAGCCGGACCCTGGTCCCAGGTGGGCAGCGGTGCCAAGGGCTGGCTGGGACACGGGGATCTGTGCCCAGTGCTGTGGCACGGAATGTGCTGAACTGCCCTTGTGTCTGGCAGTGCTCAGTAATCTCTAGGGCAGAGAATGAATATACTGAGGTAAACTGAGGCAGTCAGTCATGAAGAGGGAGGGAAATTTCTGGGGGTAAAACCTGAAATAACCTGTAGGGCAGAGAATGAACATTTTGAGGTAAAAAGAGGTAATTAGTAGTGGACATGTACAGAAGGTTTGGAGGGCAAAACCTGAGATAATGTGTAAGGGATGGTAAGTATTGTGGAGCAGAAAAATCTTATATAATCTGTCGAGGAAGAATAAACATTTTGGGGACAAGATAGAGGTAATCTGTCTGATTTATGATGTGGTTTTAACATCTAGGTAATATATAGGGGACAAAGTGGACATTTTGAGCATAAACCCGGAGTTAATCTGTAGGTGAAAGACTGAACATTTTGAGATCAAAATGAGGTGATCAGTAGTGGACCGGGAGGGAAGATTTTTAGAGTGAACTTGAGGTAGTGTATAGTGCAGAGAAGGAACATCTTGAGGTAAACTGAGGCAACCAGTACTGCACAGGTAGGGAAACTTTTGGGGCTAAAATCCGAGGTGTTCTTTAGGGTGAGGATGAACATCTTGAGGTAAACTCAGGCAATCAGTTGTGAACAAACATGTTAGAAAATTTTGAGGGGTAGAATTTGAGGTAATCTCCAGGGTAGAAAATAAATATTTTAAGGTAAAAATTAAGTAATCAGGAGTGGACAGTTAGGGAAATTTTTGGGGATAAAACCTGAAATAATCTAAGAGTAGGGAATTAATATTTTGAGGTAAAAATGGGGAGAAAAACTTTGGCATGAAAATCTGAGGTGATCTCTAGGGGAGAGAAGGGGCATCTGAGAGGAGAGAAGTTGAGGTAAACTGAGGCAGTGAGTCATGGACAGGTAGGAAATTCTGGGGAGGGGAAACACTTGATGTAATCTCCAGTGTAGAAAACGAATATTTTGAGGTAAAAATGAAGTAATCATTAGAAGGGATAACTTTTGAAGTAAACTTGAGGTAGTCTATAGCACACAGAAAGACTATTGTGAGGTAAACTGAGGCAATCAGTAGTGCACAGGTAGGGAAATTTTTAGGGTTAAATTTTGAGGTAATTACATGGTAGAAAATAAATATTTTGAGGTAAAAATGAGGTAATCAGTAGTGGACAGGTAGGGAAAATTTTCGAGTAAAACTTGAGTTGCTCTGTAAGGTACAATGACTGTTCTGGAGGGAAGACCTTGGTTCATCTGTGTGGTCGGCCCTAAGCTGTCCCCTCTGTGTCTGGCAGTGCTCAGTGACCTGCGGGGAGGGGACACAGAGCCGGCAGGTGCTGTGCCGTGCTGGGGACCGCTGCGACGGGGAACGGCCCGAGTCCGTGAGGGTTTGCCAGCTCGCTCCCTGTGACGGTAAGAGAATGGCTGGAAGGGCTGCAGGGGGGGGAACAGTTCCTGCCTGCAGAGCACGGTGCTGGGCGTGGGGCGAGGCACAGAATCCAGCTTTTTTGCTGTGTTCAGTGAGGCATGTTCTGGATGTCACAGCTCCAGGTGGTCGGTGCTGCCCTACACTGGGGTCTCTCCTGTACACGTGCACAAACAGCGTTTAACCGCGTCGGCCCACGTCGTGCTTGCACTAATTGGGGCCAGAGGTGAAAGTCCATCCAAAGCAAACCCTTCTCGACCTCTAAATCCCAGGATAAGTTCTACAAGCTACCGATCGAGGGAATAAAAATACATATGAAATGGAACTAAGACATTAATAAGGTTCCAGGGAATCCCATTATATTGTTGTCATGGAATTTTTAGCAGATTTTTAAGCTTTTTAGGACAACGATGCATTTCTTCCTTTGGATTATTCACTCTGTAGGATTTGGGGTTTATCTGGATTTTAACTCCCTCACAGTGGCCCTGACACTGATCAGGAGCTGGTAGGAAAAACAGCCAGAGCTCATGGCAGGTACAGGGTGTTTTCTTGCAGAACGGATCCAACTGCTGCCCACCAGCCTGACCAGGATAGGAAATGGGGGCCTGAGTTGTGCAGAATTCACCTAAAAAATAAAAAAATGGGATTATGTGAATATATGACTTGTTTCAGAATCTGCTGGAAGTAGAAAAGCACAACCCCAAATGTCAGCACTGTGGGCAGAGTCATGGAATATAAACCACTGTAAACCAATACCCCAAAATGAACCATGGGAGAACAGAACCAAGTAAGGGTCACTGTCACTATGGAAAGGCAAAAGGAATTGTTTGGGACTTGGTTTGTTGTTTTGGGGTGATGGCTGGTTGCTGTGATTTATAGAATTCCACACATTTGACTGCCAAAATTTTCCAGCCCAGGGGCTTTTGCTGACACAGCAACAGGAAACAACATTGCTTTCCGTGTGGTGCCAAGATTTGGGGTTCAGTACCAGCTTTGCTAGTTTAGAGGAATTATACCTGTAGCCCACAATTCCATGCTGAATGCCTGCTGGATTAGCCTCACAGTGCCTCAAGGAGCACGGATATTTCCCTGCAGAACTGCTGCTTTAATGCTGGGTTTGTCACAAACCAGCAAAGGATCCAAGGAAGCTCACTGGGATCAGGACAAGGACAGGTTTATATTCCATAGAATCTGCTAATTATAACCCTTGTCCCCCAGCCCCGCTGATGTCCCTGTGGGGGACTTGTACCGACTTCCCTGGAATTCAGCTGATTTCACCCCCCCTGAGGTCAGGCTCCAGTTGGTATTTTAAATCAGGAGAAGGTGGTGGCTGGACACACTCCTGGCACATGGTGAGGCAGCACCTGTGCACAGATGAGGACAGTACTTCATGCAGGAAGCTGATTTCATTTCAGAACCTCGGGAGTGGCCTCTGGAAGTTCTTCTCCCCAAGGAAAGGGATGCACATGCCTGCTTTCAGGGCACCTCAGGTCTGACCCATCTGGTAGCACTGTCCATTATTCTGCAGTTCCATTTGGTTCCTGGAAAACTCTGGGCTTCATCCAAACAGAACTTTATGCAACGATAATCTTTTATTTTAAGGCATCTCCAAAGGCTCTTGCTTAGGATTTAATTTTTGTGAGTGAAGGTTCTCTTGGCTTTAATGCTGCTGCTGGATGATGTCCTCAGGCTTGAAGGGCAGGGATTTAGGGTGGGTAGGATGCACCTGGCTGGTGTGTGGGAGCTCTAGGAGGTTTGGCTCTGAGAATTGCTGTCCGAGTTCCTAGCAAACACAACATGCCGACATTTCCAAGTACCACCTGTTTTTTGGGGGTATTTTTGTAGTGTTTATGGGGTCTGTCCAGGGCAAAGCTTCTCCGGGGTGCCTGTTCAGAGCCACCCATGGCTGAGGAGCCGCGGGCAGACCTTTATCTGTGCCCATCCGAGTGCTGCCAGGGCATCCCAGTGCCGATGGCTGGGTTCCCATGCCCAGGATGTTTGTTTTGCAGATGAGCCCTGCCTGGGAGACAAATCCATCTTCTGCCAGATGGAAGTGCTGGCCCGGTACTGCTCCATCCCTGGATACCACAAGCTGTGCTGTGAATCCTGCGGGCAGCGCAGCAGCACCTTCCCACCTCCCGGAGCTGCCGGGACCGAGGGGCACACAGCGTTGGATCCGGGCAACCTGCTGAGGGCTCCACCAGCGCCCACCCCTGCAGTGCCCCCCCGGGCTCAGCTCCTGCCCAGGAGCAGTTCCCTGGGCCGGCCACCTCCGGCAACAGAGGAGGCTGAGTGGCACATCCCACCCTCCAGCCCCGAGCCCAAAGGCACCGGTGTTCCACACCAGAGAGCTCCTCCGGCTGGGAAGACTTCCCGGCTCTTGGCTTTGCTGCACCAGGCCCCTGCCAACAGCAGCAGCCTCAGCCCTCGCAGGGCTCTGCCTCCAGTGCCAGCGGAGAACATGGCAGCAGGGGCTCCTGCACCAGCCAGGACCTCTGGGAACAGCGAGGATCACCTTGGGAAGCGATGGCCTCCAAGGGCCAGCCCTGTGGATCGATGAACGGGAAGGCTTGTGGAGGACAGCCATGGAAAAGGGGGTTTGTTGTGCACTCCAGGGGGAATTCCCTGAACTCTGAGCAATCCGGAGTGCACTGTGTGCCCCGGGCAGGACACTGCAGGGCACAGGTCGTCCTCTGGAAATACAAAGGACAAGAAGTGCTGGTTCACTTTCTGTTGCTCCGGCCTCCTCCTGCCCTGTGTTCCCTGCCTAGCTGGGATGCACGGAGGAAACCCAAGTAACATTCCTGGCAGGGAGTAGGAGTCGCTGAAGGCTTCGTCCAGCCTGGGCCCAAAGGTGGCCCTGACCTCACTCTCCCCCATGATTTTGGGTTCCAAACACTCACCTGGAGGAAATGCCCCACTGCAGGCAGGCCCAAAACAGCAACACTTGACAAAACACCTTTGCCACGGACCAAGGGAGCCCTCAGGACTTGTTTGGCTCATCTACCCCTGGAAAGGGATGTTGCACAAGCACCTTTGCAGCTGTTGGGTTAATCCTGGACAGGGCAGGGAATCAGGGTTATCATTAGAGTTTTGTGCTGTCACACAACTGTTTACCTGTGTTGTTCTGCCCCATGGACATTTCCAAGGGGCTGGTGTTTAAAGCAGCAGTAGCATAAAAGGAGGGGTTTCATTTGCTTAGGAATTAAACTGCTGGCACAACAGGCTTGGGGGGTTTGGGGCATCATCAGTGCGATGCTGGATTTTGAAATAGGGAAACCCTGTAGATACTGCAAGTGTTGTCCTGGTCCCAGGCCAAAGGGGTTCCCAGCTGCTCCCCATGTCCATGCTGAACCAGCACCCAGAGGCAGAACAGGTACCGCCAAGACTTCAAAGAGAGGATTTTTTTCCTGACAGGAAGCATGGATTTCAAGGCCTGAGAGATGTTTCTTTCCACCGTGGTTCACCTCCAAACCTCCTCAAGCACGGCACATCCGACTGCAATCATTAATTTATGCCAATCCCCCACCTTGTCTCAGCCCCACCGGCCACGCTCCCTCCAGCCCATTGCTGTAAAGGACTTGTATAGGGGAGTGAGAGCTACAGATATTTATTAAAAAAGTGGATTTCTTGACAATATTTTATGTACTAAATATTTACACCAAGAGCAGGTGACTCTTCTTTTTGCCAAGATCAAATCCAGAGATGGAATTAGATGCTGTGTTGTAGGGACAGAACAGAAAGTTAAGCTACTAAACTGCTGTAGAGAAATGATTGATTTGTATTCTTCAAAAAGATGACAGGGTTTTATCACAGTTTTATCTCATTTCTCGGTGGGCTATTACAGTTTCACATGCAATTGCTGCCCCCCTCTAAGGAATCCCCAGGACCGACCCATTTAATGCTGTGAAGTGATTGGGGCCCCAAAGATCCAATTCTGGCAACATCCCGGTGCCCCTGTGGGGTCCCTCAGAGGAAATAAGGGTGGCAATGGCTCAGCAGAGTGTCCAGCCCCCAGTGCAGATAATCCTTGGACCTTTGGATGTCCTTTCTTCCAAGCTCATTGCTCTGTCTGTCACTCCTGATGCTGTGTGTGTATCGGGGAGCACGTGACAATAAAACCTTCAACAGCCCAAGTCTTTCCCTGCTTTGACTCAAATGGCAGGGCCTGGTTTTGGCATTTTGAAATTTCCTCTTTTGTAGCTGTGTCCATCCCAGGCAGGACCTTCCCTATCTGGAAATAAAGATTAAATATTTCAACTGGGCTTCTGAAAACACGGGTTTTGCCACTGGAGAGTGTGAGTTGCAGAGCAATGGGGGGAGAGGAAGGAGAGGGCCAGGTCTAACCTGGCAGGCGCTGTCAAATGAGCTGCACCTTATTGACTGGAGGGTAAAAAGTCACTGTTTGAAATTCCGTGAGTTCTGAGAGCATGGAGAGGCAGAGCTGGGATAAGCCTGTGCCTGACCCGTCACAAGATCAGTGCCAGCTCCTGGACCAGGAGTGCTCAGGGGCTGCAGACTGGCAGCTGCTCGGGCTCACAGAGCATCGCAGGCACGACGGAACCGCCGCCACTCCTCC